TTATCTTTCAGTTCAGTCTGTGTCCCGGCCCTAGACGTGCTCTCTTTAGCCTCTTCGTGCCTCCCCAGCCATTGGGGTTTCACTTCTGCCAAGCCCTTCCTCAGTCTCATGCCCTACCCCTACCTCTGCCCCGTTTCTCATTCTTTCTTGACTCAATAATGCATTTTCCGAGCACACAGAGCAGGAGAAGCTATAGTTACTACCTTCTTTTCTTCCTATCAGGCTGTGGATGACCACCAGGTCATAGACAAATTGGACACAGTGACTCCACAAATTTCCCCCTTTAATTGCCAAGGGCAGACCACTGTGGATGCCACCTTCTGAGAGAATGAATGATTGTGGAGGGACAGGTTGTGATGTGACTTCTTTGACTTAAACTCCAAAGAGAATACTTCCAGGAATCCTTGGGATTCCTTGGAACATGCAGCTCTAACACTTGTTCTCTGGAATTCCAATTCTTAGGAGAATTACTTATCTTCAACTCAGATAACAAATCTTGATTGTACCATTTTTATACGATCTTGAATCATTTAAGCTCTTAAAGACACTAGGGAAACCACTTTAGAGCAAATGTAACACATGTGTGGTGAGTAGTTCTTTGCTGGGAATCCAGGCTTTGGAGAAGGGAAGAACACATAGGCTGAACAAGCTGTGCTAATTGGGTCTACCCATTCTAGTGAGGAAAAAGAGCCAGACCTGGATGAAAATCTCAAATTCCTGTACTCTCAAGTCACATTGCTCTAGCAAGTGACTTCATTTCCCTTATTCTCTCTTTTCTACATTTCTAAAAGGAGGATCCTGTTGCCTACTTCCTAAAGTTGTCATAAGGTTTAAGTGAGAGAAACAAGTGCTCTGATACCCCTTCCCAGTGCCCACTCATCCCTTGTTCAGAGTCTAGAATGTTCTTTTTCTCTCTAAAAGTAATAAGAAATCACTAGCAGAAATAGAGTACCATTTAAATTATCTGTTGTTGCGATCGCGCCTTACGAATCTTGAAGGTCAGGGGTGGTGTGAGTCAACCTAGATACTTTCAGACAAAGAAATCTTGAGTCTTCAGAGAAATTAGAGACAATGATTTAAATTTATTTTTGATATCATTACAACAAACCCATGCTATCTTAAAGACCTAATATATATTAATTTTGTGTTTACAAAGTGTTCTTACATAGATTATCCCATTTGACCTTCAAAATAATTCTGTAAGGCAGGAAAAGCAGAAATTTATTTCTCAGGTAAATACACTGAAGTTCAGAAACATGCTGTGATAAAGAAGATGTGGTCTATATATACAATGGAATATTACTCAGCCATTAGAAATGACAAATACCCACCATTTACTTCAACGTGGATAGAACTGGAGGGTATTATGCTGAGTGAAGTAAGTCAATCAGAGAAGGACAAACAGTGTATGTTCTCATTCATTTGGGGAATATAAATAATAGTGAAAGGGATTAAAGGGGAAAGGAGAGAAAATGAGTGGGAAATATCAGTGAAGGAGGCAGAACATGAAAGACTCCTAACTCTGGGAAACGAACAAGGGATGGTGGAAGGGGAGGTGAGTGGGGGGATGGGGTGACTGGGCACTGAGGGGGGCACTTGACAGGATGAGCACTGGGTGTTATAATATATGTTGGCAAATCGAACTCCAATAAAAAAATTAAAAAAAGAAAAGAAACATGCTGTGAGTCAGAGCTAATAAATGATCACACCAGGACTCAAGCATATGTGTCCAGACCCCAATTCAGTCTGACTCTTCCCTCATCCCAAATAATTTCTTAGCTCTTAGATGCTTCCCATCACATGAGAAGCATAAAAACATGCATGTGATTGTCCACTGAAGATTAAATATATACATTTCATGACATAGCTCTAATCATTCCATTGGGGCAACCAGTCTTCTCTAGGCCTCAGTAGTATGTGGGTATAAACTCCAAGAGTTACTAACATTTTGTGAGAAACCATGATGTAATAGCTACTATGCTAAGTAAGCCCTTTATATGCACTTCCACCTAATCCAAATTATCAAAGAGGTTAAGTAATTTGCTCAAAGTCACACTGGATTCAGAGAAATGTTCGTCTGGCACCAAAGCACATGTTCTCAATCATAGTGCTATTTACATCATTGCAGAAATCCCTGTTTCTCTGGCACTTGCCCCAACTTCTCATACAAAACTCCAGCTTCTCTTAAAGATGCCCCCCAAGTACTTAAGAGTATCCTAAGGAGATGTCTTAAATGTGTCCTCCAAGTAAGTCCTGTCAGTCCTTCTGGAAACTCTTTAGTGACATCTACTTTATTCTTCTCCTCCTCCAAACCCCACAATCTAGAAATATTTGGCTGTAATCACTTCTGTGGTAGGTTTACAAATAAAAATTAGAAGAAAGAAGTGTCCTGAACATACCACCACGACCACCATAGTTCTTTTGTACATCGTTTTATTTGGAGGTTGAAGTTCTCAGGTAGTTGTGGGAAAGAGGCATCCGGCAATTATTTCACTTCCCTGGGTCTCACATTTCTCAACTGCCAAATGAAGATGATGCCACCTCCTCATGGGATTGTGTTCTGCCTTGAATAGCATAAGGTATGTAAAGCACCTAATGTAATGCCTGGCACCTGTAGAAGCTAAAACAAAAAGATGGTTTCTTCTCACCCAAATCCCTGTTCTGTACAAAAACATGGCTCCTTGCCTTATTAGCAGCTAATCAGTTAACAAACTAGTATTATTGAGGGATTCCAGTGTCCAAGCAAGGACTTTTATTGGATAATGGGTGAATTACATAAAAGGACCAGGCACCACTCATACAGCATTTTTGTTGAAAAACAGTGTGAATCAGGCAGACCTAAATGAAAATCCTGACTGTTAAAAATAAATAAATATATATTTTTTAAAGTTAAAATAAAAGTTCTCAATCTCTGGTTCTGATCAAAAAGAAAGAAAGAAAAACAGTGTGATCAGATCCACATATCATTATTTCTGCGGAGGGTCTAAGACTTGGACATAATGTTGTTTTGCCAAAGTTTTCTCTGTGATGGTGTTTGTCATAAAGGAGGTACCACATCCCATGCGTATACTAGACAGCCCTGGTACATTTCTAAGTAGATATACACAGAGTCCTTTGTTAGCTGCCTGGAAATGCAGGCAGAGCTTCTGTAACCTTGGTTGTAGAGAGTGTGCAAAATGTTTAAAAATAAAAATAAATGGAGAGCCCCAACCACCTATCCTGAGAACTTCCCAAGGGAGCCTGGCCGTTGGTGGTCAGCCAGGGCCTCAGCCCTGACATTGCAGGGGTGCCCTCAATGGAAGGCGATGGCTGTATATGTTCTCATTCATTTGGGGAATATAAATAAGAGTGAAAGGGAATATGAGGGAAGGGAGAAGAAATGTGTGGGAAATATCAGAAAGGGAGACAGAACATAAAGACTCCTAACTCTGGGAAACGAACTAGGGGTGGTGGAAGGGGAGGAGGGCGGGGGGTGGGGGTGAATGGGTGATGGGCACTGAGGGAGGGCACTTGACGGGATGAGCACTGGGTGTTATTCTGTATGTTGGTAAATTGAACACCAATAAAAAATAAATTTATTATAAAAAAAAAAAAGGAAGGCGATGGCTGAGCCTCAGGGGGAGAGAGCTCACACTCGTGTGCTGCATAGCAGCCGACTTTCGGGGCTATGTGCTCAGTTGGTCTCAGGGCATAATTCTCTGGTTTCCTTTCAGTCAAGCTCAAATTGAGAAAGAAAAGACCTTTCCCACTTCCTGCTCTCTTCACTCCTCATGAACAAGGCCACAGAACTCAAAATGTTCTTTTCTATTGTGAGAGGTATTGAGCCTATAGTAACATTCTGCAAGTGAATTACTACTCAGTGAACTTCCAGGTGAATCACTGTAGTTCTCACAGAGGCTAAGTATTTCTTTAAAAGAAACAAAAGCCCCTTGCATCTAGTTTGTCACCTGAATATTTTTTCTCTTATTTCATCTTTCTCTTTTTTCCTTATCTCTTTTTCATCTTTATGTCTTTATTTTTATTTGTGTGTGTGTCTGTGTGTTTGTGTGCATGCGCACTCGAGTGATGCCAAATATTTTGATGTGGGACTATGGGACTAATCCTGGGGAACTCCTTAATAACCACAGAGTTTAAAGAGGAAATTCATTAAAACACTAAAGCTGTTTACAACTGTGCATTATTGGTACAGGCAAGGTAGATTAAAAATACACTTTGAAGTGTCCTGGAGGCTTCATCTATAAATCACGTAGTGTCTCACAAGTCAAACACCAAAGAACAGGTGTAGTTAATATGGAATTTAGGATTAAAAAGAAACAAATAACTTTAGTGTTTTCATTTCAAATATGAGGAAGGGGACCTTTAATTAAGAAAAAAGAATTCTGTCAAATGCAACAGGGTGAGAGTGGCGGAGTCTTGACCGTCCCCTCCCATCCCTCATTCCTAGATTGTTCTCCAGCAGTCTGTCTGTTTTTGTGATTCTATGAAGTGAGTGCTGAATCCAGTCCCACAGCCAACATCACCCCTGTTCTTTGAAGACCCTCCGGGTTCTGAAGGTGTGTCATTTGCTTCCTCAGGCTGTCAGTGGAGCCACGGGGCCAAGTCATATCTGCTCACAGCTGCTAGCATTTGCATCCCTGGGCACTGAGATCTGAAACTCGACCCTGGCAAGAGCCAGCCCTACCCCCTTGGAGGAAACGGCTGAACAGCCTGAGCAACAGCAGATGAAAACTTCCTTCCTTTTCATCCAGCCGCAGCACCCCCACCCCCACCCCTGCACCCGCCAGAGCTCTCCCCTCCCGGTTTCCAGAGGCCCAGGCCTGGACAGCAGCCCCAGGGGGCCTGGAGGAGGGACACATTTTCCCAAGTCCCAGCACTGGCTTCCTGGCAGGCCAGGCGCACACAGGGCTTGGTTGCTCCTCCCTCTCGCCTGCTGCAGAAGGGGGGCCCTGGGACAGAGGAACCCGCTGCTTTCCGCTGCGCCACTCTGAAGAAGGAGAGAAAGGATAAACCCCAGGATCTGGATGTAAGGAGGGGTGGCGTTTGCAGAGCCCCACATCACAGGCTTTCCCTGGCCCCTGCCTCCAAGAAATTTGGACGACTACTGCCCCTGTCATGCAGACTTTGTAGCCCAGCTCCCATAATGAGCAAGGAAAGCAGCAATCCCTCCATGGGCTGGGAGCACCGACCCCAGGACCTGTGGAGCATGGACCCTCGGTCTTGGGATCCCTTGAGATGTTCAGTTCCACAGGCCAGCCTGGCTCACACTACTGACAAGGGCAAAAGTGCTGTGCTGAGGAGAGGTGTTGCCACCTGCCAGGTTCTCCCGAAGAGCTGTGAAGAGGGCCCCTGCAGCACAGTGCAAGCCAGGAGAGCCAGGCTCTACATGTACTGTCCGCCCATTCAGACTTGCCGGAGCTCCCCGGCCCCGCCTGCCCCTCTGCCTCTCAAGGTAAGAGAGTGTGTGTGGCTGAAGCCCCAGACCCCAGCTGTTCCCCTGGAAGAGGAATAGAGAGTGGGGTAGATGTGCCCACAAGGGTTCCCAGCTCTGAACACTTAGGTGTCCCCTCCACTGTGGATGGGGTGCACCTCAACAGCAGAGGTACTCACCAGCGACAGTCCCCTGGGCCCTGGATCTTTCCTCTGTGCTCTGCCACCTTCCCAGCCATTAGCTACATTTTGTTTGGACAGAGAGAATGAATAACTATTTCCCAAGATCTCTGCCAAAGACAGGAGGAGAAAAGTCCGGCAGGACAGGACCAGAGCAAGAACAAAAGAGGTGTACAGACCTTTACTGAGCCCTATGCATAATCCAGCCATCATACTAGATGTTTTCTTATATCCCATTTATCCTCATAACCACCCTGAAAAATAGAGGCCCATATCCCCAATTCCAGATGGGGGAACTGAGAAGTGGCTAAGCAAAAATCCTCTTCCTTCCAAAAAGAAAAGAGCAGAAGCAAAGTGTGTTCTCCAGAGTGAGCTCTGGGGACTTTGGGGAGACTTCAGTGAATTTTGTGGAGGCTTTCAGAACTTGGGACTCAGCCACATCTTTACATGCTTGACCTCCTATGGCCCACATCTATTTCCCATCACCCTTTCTTGCCTCAAGAGGATCTATAGCCTCCCAGCCTCCATTTTCCAGCAGAAAGGGAAAGGATGGGTATACCTGTTTGATCTTCAGGGTCTCTTCCAGCTCTTACGGGCTTTATCTCCAATCACGGCCATGCTGACTCTTTGCTATTAGCTTCTTATTCTCTGCATCTCTGACTCCACCTCCTCATCATGCTGATGCTCTCTCCACCCAGTTCAGGTGTATGGCTGCTAAAGTGGGTGGACAAAATAAAAAATTATGCTTTCATTTTCCCTTTATTCACAGCATGGACAATTTGCTATAGTTTGCACATATATAAGTGACAGCAATGAGGGTGAGGAAGACTATGTTTTGGAATTGCTGGGATGAGATAGAAGAGTAAGAACTCTTATTGGGGTATGTGAAAGGTTGACATGGAGAAGATTCTCAGGGACCTCACAGGAAAAATGGATGAAAATCACATGGAAAATGGGTCTTGGGGATCCCTGGGTGGCGCAGTGGTTTGGCACCTGCCTTTGGCCCGGGGCGCGATCCTGGAGACCCGGGATCGAATCCCACATCGGGCTCCCGGTGCATGGAGCCTGCTTCTCCCTCTGCCTGTGTCTCTGCCTCTCTCTCTCTCTCTCTGTGACTATCATAAATAAATAAAAAATTAAAAAAAAAGAAGCCTTTAGAAAATGGGTCTTCCGTGGGCTTGGAAGTGATGTGGCTTTATCTAGATTCTGTGGCTCTCTCCTGAATGCTTCTATACATCATCCTTCCTTTCCCTTTCCCTTTGTAATAGGGAGCTTGTGCAGTCACAGTTAAGAGTCGGGGAGAAAGGGTAAGCCCAAATTCTACTCAGAGGGGAACTCTTGGAAAAAGAGAGATGCTAGCTAGCATACTTCCTTAAGAAATAGTTTACATTCCTTCCTAGTTCTTGTATCCCTCATTTCCTACAGGGATTTAGAAGGAATGACATACCCATGCATTAGAGCCCTCTCTCTGTATGTGGGGTCACACAGTAGTTTATGTACTTTAAGGCTGGTCTGATAACTTGAAAACTCTATTTTCTTACCCTCCCCTCAGAACGGTTGCCATTTCTCTAGGGAGAGGCACCTTGGGAGTTGGTCCAAGTGGTAGATTTCTTACTTGCCTGCCTCACTGTAGCCACTTTTGCTAATGGGCTTCCAGATAAATGCACTATATAAAGTAGAGATTGCAAGGTTCCAGACTAAAAACTTAGATTTGTGTACAAAAGTGTTGGGCCAGGGAAAGAGACTCTCAGTATTCCTGTCTTAAGGGAAAGAAGAAGAGAGCTAATTAGAGGACTTCTGAGGAGGACCAGGGAATACATGGTCCCTATAGGGTGGGACACAAGGTGGTTAAGAAGCAGGGCTAAAATAATTAACCTTGGGTTTTCTGGTTAGACGTTATGATTCCCTCCACCACAAGAAGGCAAGTTGGGAAATTAGCACCGTCAGACCACAAGTCCTTTAAATGCCCTATGGCTATTATCAACCAGGTAACCTCTGCCCGGTCTTTTGTGTTAGAGAAGGAGAAATTAACAGAGAGAGATTTTCCATCTGCTCAGTCCTGATCAGACTAAGTTGTCTAGATTTAATAGATTAGTGTATGAGAATTCTCCAGTCTTCTCAGACTTTGGAATTTAGCTATATAAGTCACAGCAAAGTGGCAGAAAGGGGATTAAAAACATCTTCTTAAAAAAAAAAAATCTTCTCGTCACCTGTGAGTGGAAAACCCTTGATTACCCATCATGGGAAATTTCATTTGATGTACTCAAGAAAAATGTGATAGATTGTATTTGTTAAAGTGAAATGCTGGTTATATGAAAGCAAAGCCTACATATACTACATGTGCATAATAGGATTGATTTCCAAGCAGAAAAATCTGGATCTTAAGTATAAACCCTCTTTTTCACAGTACTCCAGATGGCTAAATTTATTCTCTCACAATTGAAACAAATGCGCTTCAATGTGAAAATTGTTTACTTAATCCTTCCAAGTTATCACAGTCAGCAGCAAATCAAATCAAATCAATTTATTGATTCCTAATTTATAGTAAAAACAATTATAGCATTGTGTGACCCACATAGGACTTCCAATGCACTATTTCCTCTTATTAAAACCTCAAAACTCTATGAGGATATACATTATTATCATCCCCCTTCATGTATGAGGAGACAAGAGGCTTGGGGATGGTCAGCGACTTGCTGGGTCCCATAAACAGGATATGGAAGCTCAGGACAGAACTCTGGTTTTCCACTCAGAGGCCAAAGCTGGCCTTCTCTCAGTATCTTCTGAGAAGGTGAGATTTCTTTGGAAGGCAACCCACTACCTCCTAGGACCTGTGATACTATATTCTTACTTTCTCTGATGGAAAAGATGGGAGAAAAACCCTCAGGAATATCACATCTAGTGACTAGCCTTGTCTAACAAGGGCTGCTTTCTAGAAGCAATGAAGGCCTGGGTTTGGAGGACTTGGAGTTGCAGCTCTGGACAATGCCAATTGAGGGCTATAACATTCCTGTGGTGAGTCTGTCAATGTGAATCAGAAAATGTTCCATGGTCTGAAGCTAGAGTCAGCCCTAACAATTTGTTGGGCCCCATGTTCTGCTGCCTCTCTGTGGGAATGAGAGGAACTGTCAGTGTGTGGCTTTCAATTTGGGGCAAAAGATACAAAGATAAAGAAAAGAGATATAACACAAGAGAGTGAAATAAACCTTCTCTATAATAATTTTGGGAAATTTCCAATTTTCTTAAAACTAGGTCTCCATATCTTACAAATTTTATATTTTGAAATAACAATGACTTTTGGTATGTAAATGACAGAAAATCTTCCATCAAATACAATTTTTATAAGCCCCCTTCCCAAATTTTCACTTATAGCTTTAAATTTCCTAGAAATTTTACCTTTTTCTATTGGTCTTCTTTATTCTCTTCTTCTGTCATCTCAAAAGCAATCACCTTTTTGAGTTTTTATCACCAGCTTCTAGGAGTGTTCAGGTTTAGAAGACAAAGTGGAGAATGAGCAGGACGGACCTGGAGTCCATGGGGGGTTTATGCGGGAGGGAGACAGAGATGGGTAGTTCTTTAAAGTAGTGAAGAGAAGTAAGTGTCTACTACTGCCCTTTAGGCAGGCCTTGTCAAGCAGACCAGAACAAAAATAGTTTTAATTTTCTGTGTCATGGATTGTTTTGCCTTAAATAAGACCCATGTCTGAAATATAAGTTTGTAAAGTGCATTACATTTTTGTTGGAAAGGTTTATTTAGAGTAAAGGTTTCTGACACTGAAATTAAAGAGTTGAAAGTGAAGTTCTGGTTCAGACAACTAACTAGCTAAGTGGCCCCTGACAACTCATTGAACAAAGCTAGGTTATCACATTTTCTGAGGTCTGTCCAGTTCTGACACTAATCAGTATGACTCTATTAATCCAGAGAGGGAAGGAAACTGTTTAATGAAATAAAAGTGTTAAAACAATCAGTTTGTCTCTAAAGATCAATGATTTTGTAAAATGACCTCACTGCAAGGAAGATACTTAGTGGGCTTGCCTCTCTCAGGGACGTCTGGGACGCCAGTGGGCACTAGTATGGTTATATACATGAATAACACAGTGCCTGGCACTTAACAATTAGCTGAAGGAGTGAATAAATAAAGGAATGAAACTTTGAAAGGCTGATTAGCATTCAGTGAGATCAAAGAGTCAGTGCCTTTTCTGGGCAATAAAACAAATCACTACCATGGGATTTTTAGGGCTAGAATTCCCAGCCGTCTATCCCCAAATGATTGATACTTCCTTTTTTGACCAGATTCCAGGTGAATTAAATTCCCCTCTGGTGTTGAATACTGACCCCCCCCCCAGGTAGGTATTGTAAATACATAAATTTGTAAATGACCCTTGGAAAAGATCATTTATCTTATCTAGGGTAAACACTTACCCAAATCTGTTGGACTTTTCTGGGCTGTCATAAGTTTAGAAACTGTTCTGCACATAAAATGGTATTCTAGATAATCCTTTACATTAATCCTTCTTGGTGAGCATTTTAGATTTTTTAAAAAGAAATTAGAACAAAGAGAGAGCTTGCACAAATGCCTATATAGTAATTTTAACAACAATATAGATAAATGTACAATGGTGTCCCTTTTAAAAGATTTTGGTACTTAGGAGACAGTGTTGATTGGATTGAAAAGCTTATCCTTAGTCTATTTTACACTGCATTGGTTTTGACATAGATGTCTTGATTTATTACTTGAATAAATGAAGTCTGAGATAGCACAATGGGTTTCAATTCTTTTTTATCTTGTGATTTGCCTCGGTGTTCCCATGGCAACATTTTCTTGCTCTTTTTCTCTCCTTA